GGCCCACTCACTCACCCGCTACTCACCAACGAATCACAGTCACAAGTCAAACTCCACCGGACTGATAGTCCAGTCACAGATTCACGTGGTTGGCACCACAACGTGCCAGCTGCATCGCGCACGCCAATCTCCCAATCGTCCATCACCTTGCGATTCTCGTACAAACAACTTTTGCAAGAGGGAAAAAAAAAAAAAAAAAGAAAGTCGATTCGACAAAAGGGCAAAGAGTCGTGCTACAATCTTTATGTATACGGATCGGCCAATCATCTGCCTCTGCTCGCTGCGATCGACGTCACTGCGGCACGTAGTGCTGCTGGATTGGCGCATACATACAGCTTGGTCATAGCAAGACAAGACCTGCAGTATTCTCATCAGGGACTGGCTGATCACAATGTCACGAGGAGGCATGGGACGAGGAGGACGTGGTGGGGGACGGGGTAGGGGACGAGGTGGAGGGACAGACCTGCTGTCTAGCACCGGTCAATTCAGCTACGACGAGATCCGCAGCGGCATGAACAGCAAATCGCAATCATCCATCTATCCCATTCCTCCCAGTCACGCCATCACTCCTGTTCCTCAAGTGTCCGAACTCAGAGCAGCGACTGCTCAATTGGCTCTCTTGCAAGAGATGAAGTTGGGTCCTTTTTGGCCTGGCATGCAAGATGATCCTCACAACGCCGCCGCGTCTACCTCGGCCTCGACGACGACGACGACGACGACGGAGAGAAAGAGCGGATTGGAATTGCCCAGGTATTCGGATAGGTACAAACCAAAAGCTTTGAACGCATCTTCATCGCACGGTAGTAGTAGTGCTGCTAATGGCCCTTCTTTGACGAGTCTGATTCTTCAACGAGAAGTCTTTCCTCAAATCTTATGGAAATCTTATATGCAAGGAGAAGAGAGGAGAGAAGCTTTGCGCGTTGCCAAAGCCACGAGCAAAAAACGGGCTAGGGTGGATTGGGATTCGTTTGAGCGTGGTGGGGCCAGCAAGGCAGTCGGTGCTGGTGCTACTGCTGGTGCGGGAGGGGACGGGGATGAGGATGCGGATGAGGATAAGGATAAGGATGAAGAGGAAGAGTTGGACGCGTATGAAGACGATGAGGATGAAGGAGATTACGCGGCTGAAGATTACTTTGATGATGGCGATGGGGACGACGAGGATGCGCTAGATAGCTATGCAAGAGGCGCAAGGGGTGGTGGCAATGCCGATGGAGAGTACGACTAGTCTTTGATCCCAGCTTGCAAAACATGCGTGTGCACCCGCATCTTCCACACCACACCCCAGCGCATGCGCACGGCATCGTAGCGGCAGTCACTAAAGAACAACAAAAACATATCCCGCTTTGCTCGTGCTCGCAGAAGCCCTTGTACAGCTCGATGCGCTCATACATTGTCGTCTCGTCATCCAAAGGTCACCTCTTTCGCCCTTTCGTCTCAGCTACAAGTCCTCTCGGGCTTGTCCGTGCTTTGGTTGGTCCATCGACCTAGAGAACGTTCTGCTTTGCTGCTCCAGCACACTCCACGCAACGCCTTTCTCGTCGAGTGTTTCATGCGCCCATGAAAATCTTCCAAGCCGGGCAGCACAGAGCAACAGAGTTCAGTAGGGGTCAAATCGCCAGAAGCAAGCAGGTGCATGCATGTTCGAGCCATCCAAACGATGCTCCCACTCGTAGGCGTCACACTTACAGGAATCTGGCGTATTGCGGCTTGCGTCTGCCGCTCTCAAACCATCTCATTCCAATCGTGGAACCTCGCATCGCTCTCTGGCCCCGCCTCCTTCACTTTTCCAACCTCTTGACAAACCCAGCAAGTGCGGGTCTGTTCCTAATCTCCTCATCCACACTAGCCAATTCGGCCGGCTCGATAGCGCTGACTGTCCTGGCAAAGTATTGCGTAGTGAAGAGCACTTCGTCAAAGATGATTGCGCTAGGTTTCGCATTGGAGGATGCTCCTGCTGCGCTTGCCGTCGAGTTCGATCGCGTCGGGTTGTTGTGTCCAAATAGAAAGGAAGACGGATGGATCCGAAGCGTCTAGATATGTATTGAGAGAGAGGCAAAAAGGGCGGGGCGGAGGGGGGGTCGCGGAACGTGTTCAGCTATGACCACCAAGACCACCGACACATGTTTCTGGACGTGCACAGCGGAAAGGGGCAAGAAAAGAGCAAGATGTGGAGAGGAGAAGAAAGCCCAACTCACCAAATGACCATCCTTGATATAACTTCCATCTTCTTGTCGAATAGCAAAATCCGCAGGTCTTCCTTTCAACAAGCACCTCCTCAAGGCCGAATAATCTTCCACTCCCGATGCGTTCGCCAAGCCCTCTTGTCTAGACGCATTGCCTCCTCTCCTCACAAACAGTCCATCAGCCTTGCGCAACGTCTCGTTCTCATCGGCCGAATCCGGCGTGCTCCTGGTCGAAGTGGAAGCCGACGCAGAAGCGCTGAGAAGACCTGATGATCTGCCTCGCTCAGACCGTTCGAGGTCGCGATCATGATCGTCGCAGACGATGCCCGCTTTCTTGCAGATCAAGTCAATCTGTCTACGAATATCGAGCACCTGCTTGACATTTCTAAACGAAATGTAATTCGCTTCGCACCACGCTTTCAATTCCATATTTCTCCTCTTGAACATTCCCTTGCTCTTGCCATTGGTCGCGCCCACGCCCGCGCGCGAGCCGTCCAGGTCCAGAAGCTTGCTCGAAAACTCTTCGTTGGCATCCATGTAGGCGTACAAAGCAGACAATTGCGTCGCATGATCTCCCGTCGGATGGGCAAATTTTGCATGAGCTTCTGCAGCTTTATCGCTCTCGCTTTTGCCCTTGGCTCCAGCGCCCGCGCCCTTGACGAGGGAAGCATCTTTGAGATGAGGAGCAGGAAGGTAGAGGACGCTAGCCCTATCGCTTGAGAGGATGGCTACAAGGTCTCTAGCCTGACGAGATACAGTCGGTCCCTCTTCTCCCGCAGCGATCAGCGTCCTGGCCAATGGAGCAGGTAGAGGCAATGCTGCCATTCTCGTGCCCAATCTCGTTATCCTCATGCCCATCTGCGGAGCGGGACAAGGCTCGATAGCACCCAGCACGCTGAGCGCAACGATGGACGCATGCACCTCTTCCTCTTCAGGTCGACTGATCCACTCAAACTCGTGCGGCATGATACCGATGCTGAACAGCGCCAAGAAAGCATTGGTGAGATCCGCCCTCTCCACCTCTGGCGTGCTTTCCTCTGCCAATTCCTCCTCGTAGGATTGTAGCGTGTACAGCCTGAAACAGTCGCCGTCCGCCGTTCGTCCTGCTCGACCAGCTCTCTGATCAGCTGCAGATTTGCTGATGGGTCCAGCATCTAAGCTCGTAATCCTAGATCCTCCCAGTCCTGATCTTGCGCCTCCACCTGCTCCGCCTCTTTTGACTCCTCGTTCCTTGGCAAGCCCACAGTCGATGACGTAGCGTATGTTGGGCAGGGTGATGCTCGTCTCTGCAATGTTTGTAGCTACGATGACCTTTCTGTATCCGGGCGGCGTGGGCGCAAAAGCAGCAGCTACGCCCACAGGTCCAAGCGCAGCATACAGTGGAACAGGCAACAACCGCTCCTCTCCCACTTTACCCGCCCCAAGCCCCTTCTCTGCTCTTTTCTTCTCATCATGAAGCTCCAAAATACCATTTAGGCAGGAGAGAGTGTGACACAGTCCGTCGATCTCTTCGGCTCCAGTGCCGAATATCAACACGTCGCCTGGCGGTCGAGTCGTGTGAATTTGGAACACTGTGGCCCTGGCAGCCTCTGTCCAGTCCAAACACGGCTCTAGAGTATGCGACAGTCTAACTTTGTGCATCCTTCCCTGGACATATAGGATGGGTGCGGGTACCGTTCGTCCCTTTGCATCCGCCAAGGAGAAGAAGGTGGAGAACTTTTCGGCATCCAAGGTGGCGCTCATGACCACCACCTTCAGCAGCCGAGGTTCCGCATCCGCGTCCTGGTGCCTTTGCTCTGATGTAGTGGAGCTTGCGATCCTTGCTCGTCGATCTTGTCTGTCCTTCCATCGGATGTGCGCCTCTTTGCGCTTGGCTTGTATGCGTTTAACCAATCCCAACAAGAGATCCGTATCGACTGTGCGTTCGTGCGCTTCGTCGATGATGAGCACAGAGTAGCGGTCGAGCATGCTGTGCGTCGGACCTGAATTTGTAGCTGACTGGTCCTCTTGGCTATGCGTCTCTTTGCTTTGGCCACGCTGTCCAAAGCCCGTCGAAGCTGCGGTGCCGATGACTTCGCGCAAGAGCAGCCCATCGGTCATGAACCTGATTGCGGTTTTAGGTCCGGTTCTATCATCGAATCGAATGGCATAAGCCACTCTTCCCACTCCCACCTCTTCTGTGCCTCGGCTTTTGCCATTCTTTCTGCTGCTGCTGCTTCGAGGCAGCTTGGAGTTGATGGAGCCAGGATCCGGTTCGCCCATCTCGGCTGAGACTCGTGATGCTAGGGAAGTGGCAGCTACACGACGAGGCTGCGTCACTCCGATCAGAGGCGCTCGATCGTCGGTCATGCCCGCCTCGTACAGGAATTGGGGAACCTCTGCGGCGGGTGGGAAGAAAAGCAAAGATGTGGCGTGCATGCCATGCCAACGTCAACGTCAACAACAACCAATTCCTTTTCTCAGCTCGTGACAAGAAGGCAGACGTGAGGGAGAGGTGCACCCATCGCATCGCATCGCATCGAATCACTCACGCGTCGTCTTGCCGCTTCCCGTTTCCGCTAGCAGCACCACCGTATCGCTTGTCCTCACAGCATCCACAATGTGTTGCCTGGCTGACCAGATGGGCAATTGCATCCTCTGCAAAAGCAGCTGTTGAGCTTTCCCCTGCAGCTCCTTTTGTCCAATCGCCTGCTGTTGCGGCTGCATCTTAGGTGACTGCAGCGTCGAGACACGCTCACCAGAGTCCAATCGCTGCCTCTTGAACACCTTTTGATTCTGTAGACTTGGAGAAGAGGTGCCGTTGGCGTTGGCGTTGCCATTGCCATTGCTCGTGCTCGTGCTCGTGCTCGTGCTCGTGCCCGACGAGGATGGCGTGCGCGCTGGAGGGTGAGCATGCAGAAGACGGCCCATCAAGGGAGATGCTGTAGCTGGCTGATGCTTCTTCTTGGCCGTCACGACAATGCCGTCGCTGCCAGTGCCAGTGCCAGTGCCAGTGCCAGTGCCAGTGCCAG